TGTCAAAAGTTACGTCTTTTTAATATTTTTATATGAATAAATATAAAATTATTATATTTTTTAATGTATTTTAATTCAAGGAATTTAGATCAAGTTAAATATAATTTTAGCAATTAAGTAAAATAATTTCATCATTAATAAAAACTAGTTTTGTCATTTCAGTTTCGTTAATTTCGTCATATTAAGAAAGGTAATTTTGTCAGGTATCACTAGCTGAATGTTTACTTAAAGATTTTAATACTAAAATAAACTAAATTATATATATTATAACAAATAACTATTGATTTTTGTAACTTGAACTGAATTTTTACCAAATAATATAATCAAATCAGCTGAATGTTTATCAAAAGGTATTAGTGCTAAAAGAAATAATTTTAACTAATAATATATAACATATTTATTAAAATCTTGATCTATTTTTAATAAAATAAAAATTATAATCATTATCTGAAATATTAAAATTTAAATTGTATTATTTTACTTAGATAGTTTAAAAGTTTTTCAATATTAAAATAATCTAAAATTTCTAAAATATAGGCTTGTTTATTTATTTTTTATAGGTAATCAAATATTTTCTTATACATTCTTTTTTATTAATTATAACCTTAGCTTCTTTACCAAGTTCTTTATAAGCTTTATATTTGCATTTTCTTTTTTTATTTTATTATTTTTAGATAGCAAATAATATATAAAATAAATTTATGAGAAGATTTGTTATTCTTATTAAAATTTAATATTGGTTAAAAAAATATAAAAATAAATGTTGATTATTTAATTAACTTAAATAAAATTTTGATTTACAGCTAATTTCATAATTCATAGATTAATATAATTTTTCAGTCACATTTAGTTGTAATATTTTATATAATTTTATTATAGAATATTTTTAGTCACATTCAGTTGCAATTTATTAATGGTCTATAAATTATGAAATTGATTGTAAATAATTTGGATAATTTTGACAATTTTTAGACAGTTTTAGATATATCCAAAACTTTTTAAATAATTTATAATATATTTAAAATCTAAAAAAAATTAAACATAATAGATATGATTTAAAATAGTTTTGGACTATTTAATTATCCAATTATTTATTTAAAGCAATTGAATATATCATCTATAATAATAAGAATAATTTATTTTTAAAAAAAATTGGCTATTTATTTTTTATTAATAAAGTTTTTAACTTTTCTATTGTAAAAAAAATTTGTTGTATTTAAAGAGGAGGAATGAAATCCAATTAATAAACAGCTAAAATTATATTAAAATATAGTAAGAGGTATGAAAAAATCCCAAAATTCAAAATTAGCTGAAACTTTATTATAAATATAATAAGAAATATGACAAAATTATTTTGAAGGAGTTTCAGAAGGCATCAAGACATCTATAATTATATTGAAATTATTTATTTTTAGATGCTGATTATTTACTTAATAAAGCAGATTAACTTATACTATTTTTAATATTAATTATTTTAGCATAACATTTTAAAATTTGCATTTCTCAATTTATTACTATGCAAATTGACCTTTATTAATAATTAAAAAACCATTGTCAATATTGAAATTAACTGAATCTAACTAAAACTCATTTTTTATTTTCAAAGTAGTTTCCATCCTTTCTATTGTAAAGTGCCATTTAATAAATTATATATAAATTCTTAAATTTACAGTTTATTACAATAATATATAATAACATTATATATAATATAATTTTGGATTTGTATTTTATACATAACTAAAAAATAATATTAATATACAAATTATTATAATATTCTAAAAACATAAATTAGATCAAAAATAAAAAATCAGATAATAATAATGATTTAATATATGAGATGTTTCAAAAGTTACATATTTAAATATAAAAAATTTTATAAACAGAAAAATCATTAATATTTCTTTTTGATTTGAGATACATATTACTACTTTATAATAATCTAGAGTGAAACCATATATTATGCAATAATTTCAATTTAAATAATCATGTGAAACCTTACGGTTTTACTTATGCATTGATTTTTAATTTTTCATTTCTGTTACTGCAATCACTTTTGTTACTGTAAAGTAACTATTATTACTATTATCGTGTTATTATTATTTATTGTTACTATCGTTATTCATTAAATTCACGTGATTATGGTTTTGTCACGTATTGCGTATCGCGTATCTTGTCTGATAATTATTCCGTTATATATTAATATGATGTTGCTTTGAATGTGATGATAATCGATCAATTCTCATTAGGAAAATAATCATAAAACCCGAGGCCTCGAAGGATTGATGAAAATTAGATGATGTTTTGTAATTTGAACAATGATACTCAATTCCTTTAAGATTATATCTCATCAATATTTGATATTAGACATTAGAGGAAAGAACGTCCATTTTAAAATAAATAGATGATCTAATTGAATGGATGAGCAATGATTAATTAGTCCTCGAGAACAGAGTCACTTAGAGAGCGGAAAAACGATATTATAAACTTATCGCAAGATTTAACTATCTACTAAAAAGTATTATTTTACGGAAACCTTTACGCAAAATTATTTGCAATTCATAGATAAACACATTGGAATACAGAAGTCTTTTAAATTTTAAAAAAAAAAAAAATTACCGGCTGCAAATGAAGGCAGATTTAAGAGTAACCTAACAGAATAAGGAATTATGATACAATGCAAAGCTTATCGCTTCAACCGAGTAAAATACAATTTCAAGTCATAATTAAAGGTAACTTTATCATTAAAAAAAAACTTGCGAACCAATATTTCAGGCATTATAATTAACATTAAATGTATCCATTAGGATATGATTTATGAAGATGCATTTACACATGAATTATCTTCAGGAATATTACATTCAAGACAAGTCCCAAGTTCTGAAAGGAATTCATTCAAAACTTGATGTGGTATTGAATTGTAAATTAAACGGATGATAAAGGTTTTTGAATTTTCTACCGATCAATTCGACATAAAACATCGACGACATTCATTGTCTAGATCAAAAATTGAAATATATTGAATATATTCGTGCGCAGTAATTAAAAATTTACACGTGATCCTTTAACGAATTATACAAAGATCCCTTTTAAAGAAATATTTTTTAAGTCAAGTTCTTCGGAATTTTCAAGTTCTTTGGATCTAGAATCATCCAATTTTCGTACAACTTCTAGTCAATTGCATCCATCATCCTTCTAAAAAAGAGAGAAGTATATGTTTATAAGCGCGTTGAAATTTATTTAATCTGCAACGTTTTTTATTTTTTATCCTTTTTTAATTTTCCTATGATGAAATAAAAAAGATCACATTTTAAAGTTCGTTAAATAAAATTGCCCAAGACAGCAAAGAATAGTTTTGGAACCATTCCATTATTTTATTTTTAAATTCAAAAAAATTGTATTCGATTGCGTGAAACGAGGATCTTTTATTTATTATAAATTAGTCTAATTAATAATATGTAATACAGATTAATTGACATGTGAACATGATAAAAAAATAACAACCCATTACAAATTGCCAAGTGTCGTTCGAATTTTTTTTACTCCCTACTTTTGAACCCATTCTTATTTCGAAACCTTGAATTGATTTATTTTTTCCATTTTTTTTTTTTTTTTTTTTTTTAGTAAATATGTTTATATTCAACTGGTTTTTTGATGTTCTAGCATCTTTAGGTGTGTAAAAGCTGGCAACGTGAAAATTTTGATCAAACTTCTATTATATACCTTTTTTGCCTTCATCAGATTAACCAAGTCAACTTCTTATATCGATAGGTCTTGTTAATAAAAATGCAAAAATCTTATTCTTGGGTTTAGATAACGCAGGCAAGACTACTTTGCTACATATGTTAAAAAATGACCGCTTGGCTACTTTGCAACCAACATTACATCCTAGTAAGTAAACGAGCGAGCTTTTGAAACGAATGGAGTTATAGAATTATATGATGAGAACGAATTATATAATCAGTCAATTCATTCGAATTGATGATTTTTTGTTTACCTTTGTGTTAATTTTTTTTGTTTAATACAGCCTCGGAAGAATTATCCATAGGTAACGTTCGTTTCACAACTTATGATCTTGGTGGACATCAACAAGGTAAATAATTATGTAGATTTAATATACAATGTAATTTAATTTAATTACAGTACAAGTAGCTCGTTTTCCAATATTTACTTGATTATAACTTTTTAATAATTTAGCTCGTCGTCTTTGGAAAGATTATTTCCCAGAAGTATCTGGGATTGTGTTTATGGTTGATGCTCGAGACCATGAACGATTTACGGAAAGTAAAACTGAATTAGATGTAAGTGGATGTGTAATCTTGATTGTTTGATGAAACCTTTAGAATATATTAAATGTATTAACGAATATGGGGTTCATGTATTTAGGCCCTACTTTCGATTGAAGAACTTTCAACTGTACCTTTCTTAATTCTCGGAAACAAAATTGATGCAGCAGGTGCAGTGTCAGAAGAAGATTTGAGACATGCACTTGGACTGTATCAAACAACCGGAAAGGTTAGTTAATACCTTGTTATGAATTCCTTAAAAACCGAAACTTTTCTTTTTAATAATAATTAAATCTGTATAATTAGGGTAAAGTTCCGTTAAAAGATATTCGTCCTATTGAAGTTTTTATGTGTTCTGTTGTTATGAGACAAGGATATGGTGACGGTATGTATAGAAAATATGTTCATGTTTTTACATTTCTTCAATGGAGATTACTGATAAAATTTGAAAATTTGAAAATTCTCTTGTATTCAAGGTTTTCGTTGGATATCTCAATATATGTAAAGTCATTTAAAAAAAAATTAAAATACTACAATAATAATGTCCTTTTTTTTTCTTTTTTTCTTTTATTCGAGCATTAATAAAATAACTTTTAATTTATTATTTGAAAATTTACAAGAACTAATGAAAATATATATACACATTCAACTTATAAACGAGATAATATAGAATTATTGAATAATATATATATATTATATAAAAAATGATTTTAATTTCTAATATCTTACCCAACTTTGTGGAAGTACTTGACCATAAACTTTTAAATATTCGGTACGTAAAGGAATTCTAGGATCTTTGCCAAATTTCCCACCTATAACCAATAATCCGGTAGTCAATAAACCAATCGAAGTAATCATTATACCATTTCTGATAATACGTTGTCGCTTTTTTGCAGAATCACTAAGAACGACTTGTTTTTCAGCACTTTTCTTTAATACGGAACCTCTTAAAATTTTATAAACGACAGGAAAACCGCTAATAACATGATAAGCAGTCAATCCGATTAAAGCGGTTAAACTTAAGTATGAAGTAACTGGCCATTTTCGGAGAGAAAGTGTTACGTATGTCGCGTTAATTAAAGAAGAATCGCCCAAATATCGTCTGGGTAAAATACGGTTAAAATAAGTATGACCAAATGCTAAAGGAACCAAAATGTATCCAATTACATGATGATTTGGAAGTAATAAACCCAATGCTCTTGATATATAAGAACTAGTAATAGTAGTAGTGGTTTTGGTAGTAATTTTTTGTCTTACTACATTTCCTTGTTCATTCTTTTCATCCGTAACAATTTTTTCAACCTTTTCATGAACTTCTCCCGTAAGTTTTCTATCATCTCGTTTATTATATTTCCAATAGAGTTTAATACTTCGTTTTGCTATACCAGCTGCTACATGTCCAACCAATGCACCAAATACTACTATGGGTTCTAATAATTTATTTTGATAATAAACTCTACCAAGTATGATGGTTTTATTCGTTAGTTCTATACCACCAAGAGTGGCTAAAGTTGTTGCACTTAGATGAGTTACAAGAAAAGTGCTAAAGGCTATGGCCGTTCCTGCTTGAACTATCGTGAGATATCCATATACTTTTGGTAAAGTAATAGTTCGAGTCTTAGGTCCACAAAGATCACCAACTACACCTTCACCTTCAACTGAAGTTGGTTTGGAGTTCGACATTATTATTATTATTATTATTATTATTTACTTATTTATTATTGAATTCTCTGAAAAAAAAAAAAAAAAATTATTTGAACAGGCTTTTATAACATTGAAGTAGTACAATTTTATACCATAAAGACTTCTCCGATGGTCCCGATATCTGATCATCTCATTAAAAACATCATGGGAAAAATTTCAACTTTTAAACGAATCCAGGATGTTACGAATGACCATTTATAATGCAAAGATATACTGTATGTGGTGATCTAGCGAATTAATATATGTTTTACTATAATTCATGTTCTTCTACATTCTTACCAAAAGTAAGATCATTATCATCAAATTTCATTAAATATAAAAAAAAAAATTTGTATTTTAGAGAATTAAAAAAAAAGAAGAAAAAATTAAAGAGGTAAGTAAATTTATAAAGAATGAATTAATATATTACTATCGTTTATCATATTTATTTAAAAATATCAACTACACATGGAACCGCATCAAAAGATGGTAATTATTTCCTTTGCCAAGAGAGTAACAAAAAGAGGATTGGGGTATAACAAATTATAGATGAAATAAGGAGACAAATTGATGATTGCGAGTTGACCAAAATAACTAACAAGATTCAATTCTAAAGTATTTGACTAAGACTGATTGATATTTCCCCTTCATAGACATCACATCTGTATTTCGCACTTTAGATTTACAATGACCAAATTTGATTTCTTCATACATTGGAATCAATCTCATAATTTTATGGTACCTTTTTTGGTGTTTTTTATGTTCGCCTTAGGCATTAGGATTGCCGCCTTGGTGGATGGAGCCTAGAATCTCGCGAGAACCTTTTTGGGGATTTGAGCTTGATTTTGCAAACTTTCTAAAATGTTTTTCTAGGTTAAAAATTTCAACTTGCAAATTGTAATTCCTCTGGGTTAATATCTCATTTAGAACCCTTTTGGTTTAGCTAACTTTCAGAGTTAGAATTATTAATGCTTTGAGGCATTTTTGTGCGTTTCTTGTGAAAAGATATTTTTCAGCCTTAATACACTTATCCTTGGTAGTATTAGTTGATTGATCTCAATTTTTGGTTTGGGAAATTGTAGAGAATTCCGGGATAAATTAATTAGTTCTTGCTTGGTAAAGAAACTTTTTTCTTCGGATTCTCCTCGCGAATGTTTATTAAAAATTTCAATTACCTTTTCGAATTCTGCTTTACCTAATTCAAGTTCTTTTATTTTTAAAATTTTTTTCTTGACAAACTGCTTGTAGTCTTCTAACTTCTAATAACCTAGTCCTATTTCACTAGCCTTTTTTATATCCACATTTATTTTAGGCATAATATATTTCTTTTTTCTAATTAAGACTCTGCTAAACATAATGCCATTAAAAAAAAATTAGTCAACTGAAAATTGAACCCTTAGAGATGATTGGTGCCCATTTTAGATTAAAATTATATTAAATTAATATATAAATAAACTGTCACACCACCATTTTCATTTTTTACTTTTTTTAGGGTATTTATTTTTCACAGACTCCACCCAGTATAAGTTAAGGTGGTTTATTAAAATTAGCCACATTAAACATGGTGTGCACACAGCGCATGAAAAGAAAATAGAGTTGAAGAATACGATCACAAGAGTTAAATACACCTATACCTATTGTTTCCATTAATATTTATAATGCTATTGATTTATCAAGCTAATCCAATCCCATCACCATTAAAATTGCTGATTAAAAACTGGTATTATTCCATCAGAAAGAATTTATTCCTAATATTTCTTTAAGCGATGCATTGAATAGCGCTGAAAAATTAATTACTCTTCAAAATTTTCCACCAGAAAATTATGAGGTTACTAATGAAGAACTAAAGATTGGGAATCAGGAGAAAAGTTGAGATTTAAATCAGAATCTACAATTCAATTAAACATGAATTTGTAGTTTTTGAATAGGAATTTTATTACTTTCTAATAATACGTTAGTTTTTACTTTTATGAATATAATATAAATTTTCCATTAATAAATAAAGCAACTATTATAAAAATTGATAAACCGAATTATAAATTTTACATATTAAGTTCATAAGAATATTTGTTTTACCGAATGCTTGGTATAACGATTCAAGATCCTGCCTGCACGGAGGGTTCGTTCTGACTGTACTAACAGCAAGAATGTAATTATGGCTTGCTTATAGATCAAAAGAAAAATTAGAAACTGCACAACATTAAAAAGATTTCAGTTAATATGATTAAAAAAGAATATGAATCTACAAAAAAGATACTTACTTATAAACTTAATCTCTAAAATGATTATTTTTGTTTCAATTTTAATATATCCCAAAGATACAGTATCAAAAATGCTGCAAGAACAATTTTTGTATCTTTTATGGTTTTACAAACAATTATCTATTTATCTTAATACGACTACTATTTGGAAATTAAGATTAATAAAAAAGGTTAATAGCACATAAAGTTTCCAAAGCATGTAATTGATTTTTCACTATTTCTATTGCATCAAATTAAGGAGATTTTGCACAAATTATTTTTGTTCCTAATTTACTAATATAAAATATAAATGCATACTTAATATTTATATAGATGTTAAATTCGGGAGTATAGAGTTTTTTTTTATCGGAATTAAGAAAACATTTTTGACGAATTATGTATTACAATTATGCTCCAAATATAATTACTCAACGCGTTCTACAATTATCCGGGAAAATTTGTTGACTCGAAATAGTTTTGTTCTAAAGCAGACAAGCATCCTTTCATTCAATTAAAGTAAATTAAGTAAAGACCTGAATTGAATCTTTTAAAATCATTAGCTTACTCAAGACGATATCAACTTTTTTACTTAATTTTACTCGTAAATGGATTAATTATTGATAATGATGCCTTATAATATTGATTGGATGAGAAAATAAAGAGGAAAATCGCGTTTAGTGGCAAAACCTAAGCAAGTTTCTCAGATACTTAAATATTGTAATGACAATAAATTGGCTGTAGTGCCGCAAGGTGGTAACACGGTAAGCGTATATAGTAAAAAAAAAATTATATTATACTTCAGCTGAACATTTAATTTTCAAATTGTAGGTGGCGGAGTGCTAGTGTTTGATGAAATAATTATTAATTTGAATCAGATCAGAAGTTTTGATCCAATTTCAGGTGAGGACGAATAAAGTTGGATAACTTATTGATTGGAAACTTTATGTGATACATTCACATTTATAGGTGTTCTTACTTGTGATGCCGGATGCATTCTGGAGGTTCTTGATAGATATTTGGCTGAGCGATGTTATATGATGCCATTAGATTTAGGTGCAAAGGGCAGGTAAAAATTACCCTTAAATTCTTATAATTCTCTTTTCTCTTCAATTGAGTTCATTCATTCATTTTATTTTATATAGTTGTCATATTGGTGGAAATGTGGCAACAAAGATATGATCGCATCATGGCTCTATTTTAGAATGATCAAAGATGTTAGAATTAGATTGCAATCTTCTGGTGTGCTTGGTGAAGATAAGTTGGTTAGCGATGTAATAGGTTATGGACATATTGGTGATGGTAAGTTAAAGTTTCTTCGAGGAATTTGATTATAGAAGAGTTTTAAAATTGTATTAAAATTTTTTTTCCTTGACTTAGGAAATTTACATTTGAATATAGTAGCCAAGACTTATGATCCTAAAGTTACTAATTTAATCGAGTCTTATGTATATGAATGGACAGGTACGTTATGAGAATATATATAATTTATAACATTATGTCTATGTAGAAATAACTTTTTCTTAACATAATGGATCCATATCAGCAGGTAATTGATTCATGTCTACTCACAACATATTGTCTTAAATAAATTTTAATTACAGAACATGGACTTGGGTTGAAAGCAGAATATTTAGGATATACAAAATCGCCTCCCATGATTTCTTTAATGAATTGTGAACCCTACCAACACGATAAATGATAGTTGAATAATTTTTTAACCAATGAATACTTGAATGTAAAACTAACATTATAAGAATGTTTTAATGGTTTCAATCACTAAATTAAATAAAAAAACTTTTCAAAATTTTTGTGTAAATACTTGGGATGGTAATTGTTTACCAAAAACGTATTACGAAATTCTAAATACAACCCGGTTATAAATCCGAATCGGTTTAATTAGATCAAAAATTTTTTGGTTTCTTGTTCTTAAGATGTCTACGTCTTGTTGCGAGGTTATGCGGTACAGACCAGTCCCTACTACAGATTCCGGGCTCTGTAAATCCACTATTCGTCATCCAAATACCAATGCTTTTTTTTTTGGCATTTACAGTAGCTAATTAAAGGAAGTAATCGCAAGTAGTTTTAGAATGGGTAAAGTGAAATGTTAAAAACGATATAAAATATATTTGATGCTATCCCTTAAATGGTAATGAATTATATTCAAATTTAGTCATAATTTTCAATCAATTATTATGCAAAATTCTACATAAAAACTCGCAATTTTTTTAATTTTTGTTAAAATACATTATAAAATTTATTATAAATCTATTATTTTTAAATATTTTAAAATTATACAAAATTTTCAACTTTAGCTTTCATAAAGAAAATACTTTTATTAAAAAATTTTCAAAACTTTGATCTTAATTAATGCAAAATTTTACTAATTAATGTAAATTTTTTTTTTTTTTTTTTTGATATTACTTAATATATTTAAAATTAACTTTAAAGTGTAAGTAAATTCCTTCTAATTTGGAAGGAAAACCATTGAAGGGATAGTTTAGTTATAGGCGCAAATCAGACCCTTTAAATGAATTACGTTCCTCTTCTTTCGGAGTGGAATGAAGTGATCACTTTTGATCGTTTCGGAATAACTTTGGATGTTTTCGAAGTTCGAGTTATAGGCGGAGTGGCATGGTTTGGGAACTAGATGGTACATTATCTTCAGACAAGATTTTGAGATTCTGCATTGGAATAAAAATACTTAACCAAAAACCGCATCACCTTTTAAATAATGCAAATAACTAAAGCTATTCAGATTATGCAATTGATCGTGTACTTTTTACAAGCAATTTACAAATTTTTGTTATATTACAAAGCAATTAAGCAATTAAGCAATTTACAAGTGCCTTTAAACAGTGTGTTAGCAATAAATAACCAAATGACCAAATCCTACAAAGCAGTTAAGCACTTTACAAATGACCGAATCCTTAGGCTAGCCGAAGAATCAACAACGCGATGAATTTAGACAATTAGCTGTTAAAACGGTGATTGGACATAAAGTCCTAGAATCACCGCAATAAATAATCCTAATGTTGGTGGTGTAGAAATAATTAAATCATGTATTTTATTATAAATGATTACATTTTGCTCCATCTTTATCATCAGAATTTATGAACGTGTTAGATAGATTCTTGTTATTTCTAACTTTGGTTATTTTGTTACATTTAACAATAATTGATTGATCATTAAAAAATAACGATTTCATATACTTTTATTATTCTTATATAATTTGACTCGGTGATTGTGAAAAAAAATTTCACGTTACACCAACCATATATAACCATGTCTCAACCATTGCAATTCAAGCTACACAAAGCTTTTTCACGTTACACCAACCATATATAACCATGTCTCGACCATTGCAATTTAAGCTACACAAATCTTTTTCACGTTACATTAACCATATATAACCATGTCTCGACCATTGCAATTCAAGCTACACAAAACTTTTTCACGTTACATTAACCATATATAACCATGTCTCGACCATTGCAATTCAAGCTACACAAAACTTTTTCACGTTACATTAACCATATATAACCATGTCTCGACCATTGCAATTCAAGCTACACAAAACTTTTTCACGTT